TATGGGGACACCTGCATGGGTATCTATGGGGACACCTGCATGGGTATCTATGGGGACACCTGCATGGGTATCTATGGGGACACCTGCATGGGTATTTATGGGCCTGGCAGGACAACAAGCTGATCCTCAGGGTCACATTTCTTTGTTCCTTTTAACCTTCTCTTCTTTTATATATCATCTCCTCATTCCTTTTAAGCCCACTGTCAGGGAGTGTAATCATGGCACTTGGTTTTCCCCCAGAGTCACGTGGAGGATAGAAAACAAAGAGCCAAGAGAATGGACTAGTGATTTGTTGCATGGAATGCTACAGAGAAAAGCAAATGCCCCAGTGTCCTGTAAACATGGGCTCTGTGGACCCTACCGCTGTCCTCTGTGGCCCTCAAGCTGCAGCCTCCTACATCCACACCAAGGCCTGGGCTAAAGGCCAAAGGACAGCAAAGTGCAAAGCCTCATAGGCAAAAGAGTACTGAACGATGGGGGCTGCTGCAAGGCTACGGGCAGGGCCTTTACCACACAGCACAATGCACATGCCATGCCCCTTCTGACCTCTCTGGAGGCCCAGCCCAGTCCCTATAGGGCGGGGTCCACAGGACACAGCTGGTCACAGAGCTCAGGGTGACCGAGGCAAGCTAGAGCTGGCCCATATGGAAGGGGTAGCCTGGTAGCTATCTATGCTTACTCAGCCACAATCCAGGTTTCAGATGCACTGACACAAATCCATATGGGCTTCTAACAGATTCACTGGGCAGGGGAGGCAGGGGAGCCATGAGGCTGAGAGGCTTAGGTGGGGAGAGTGGAAAGCAAGCTGGGAAGACAGTAAGGAAGCTGGGGGCCAGTGGCACTCTCAAGGATGGCCCAGCCCCAGGGCACGGATGATATACTACAGCCAGGCCCATGAGCCTGTCTCCCACCAGCCCAGGAGTGCAGGCCCTAGACACCCAAGAAAGTTCAGGCAGAGTAGGGAGTGACGTGGCTCTGCAACCTACATTTGCAACCACTCCCCCGGGGTAGGCACAAGTCAGGAGGAAAGCTGAATGCCCTCAGTCTCCCTGGCCTTTCAAACTGGGACTAGAAAAGAAATGAACAGTGGCTTGGCTCTTACTACAGGGTGGAAATAACACTGCAAAGAGAAGCCATGGTCCTGCCTGGGAGCCAGCATCATGGGTAATTTGAAGTTTCTTCACAATACTTTCCTGCATTATCCCTTTGTAAAAAGTATAAGCAATACTTCTGTAATTAGCTGAGAATGATAAAATAAGCCTATCTTTTTAGTCTGAGTCTGTTTAAAAAATCTTAATGCGACTGTTTCATGTTTTAGCTGGCTATCCTTTTCCCAACTCTAACCCTTATGAATGTGAAAGTATGTCTTGTGTTTTGCAGCTTCAACAAGTAATTAAAAGGAAGTATAGAAAGTCCCCAACATACACACATCAGACTTGTGAACTTTTGTAGATGCAAAAAAATCACGGAAGTAGCTCATGCGTCAGCTGGACAATGTCCCACTGGTGCTGCTGTGCGCTCACTGTGCAGTGCTCACTCATGCTCAATAAGAGCCCAGGATGTCTGGACGCAAGAGGAAAAGCAGTGGTGACGTGGAAAGGACTTACTTGCTTTGTTGGCCTTATGAATGAATCTGATTTACAAACCTTTTCTAGAAACAGAACTCATTTGTAAGTCAGGAACTTACTGAATGGGCTCTCTAGTCACAAGGCAGGGAGAAAATGCTTCCACCCACCATGGTACCAGCTCGGCCAGTTCTTCCCATCAGTCAGGTGAATGGCAACTCCTGTTGTCAAATATCTTGATGAAAGAAAGGAAGGCTGACTCATCAATCCAGTAATCCTATCCTAAGAAAGGAAGTGAGCGCCTCTAGCAGACCTGAGTACAATCAATGGTCTTCTCTGCAGACATATCCGAAATTAATTTCCTAAACCCAGAATGGTCTATTTGCAATCCACTCTACTTAGGTGGGAAGACTGACATACAAAATTCATCTCTTCTATACTTGGGTGGGGCTGGGGAGATGGCTCAGTAGAATAAGTGCTTCCCTGGCAAGTGCAAGGACTTGAGTTCAATCCCTGGTTCCACAAAAAAAACCAAACCAAAACAAAACTATTTCTTCTACACTTGGAGAACCTGAGGTGGCACTGCAATCACTTCTGACACTTTTCCTGATTTTCCAGTCCCCAGAGGACAGTTCTTTTGGGCCCTCTGGCATGGAGTACAAAGCTAGAGGTCTGCTCTCAGCTCATCTGTCCTGAACTCTGAGATCCTTTTAGACCATGAGCAGCTTAAGAGCATGCCTCCAGAAGGGAGTATGAGAAAGAAGATTCAATGTAAAGTCCCTACCATCTGACAGGAACCTTAACAGGCAGTTCGCCAGGAAGTAAACCTCATGTTTTTGCCTGAACGCTCTCGTTCTGCAGTGGTGCAGAAATAAACTCACGTAGAGCTAGAAGTGGCCAGGGGATGGGTGGGCTCTCTTCACTCAGAAGGACACGTGCACACAGGAGAGCAGCTGGAGTGACCTGGGATGGGGGCAAAAACAGCCAGGCGGCATCTGACTTTGCTGCTGGGACAAGGATGTAAGCAGAGCAACTTCTGCTCTGGGTTCAACATTGTAACTTCCTGCAAGACCTGCTTCCATCAGCAACTCAGACCACCCAAGGCAGCACATTTAGCTGGGGACAGTTGTAGCGCTGTCCAGCTGTCCTAACGCTGGGCAGTCTTTTTGTTGCTCTGATTTGGGGGTCCCTCTCAGCAAGGCACTAGCAGACCCAGAGGTGACACAGTCTTCTGACCTTATCTATCATTGCCTTTCATGTGAAGAGTAAAACTGGAGGGTGGGCTGGGTTTTGTTTGCTTGTTTGTTTTTTGACACAAGGTTTTGCTATGTAATTCAGGCTTGCACTCACTTCGAAGCCCAGGCTGGCTGGAAACCCTGATCTTTCTATCTCAGCCTCCAAAGTGCCAGGATCACAGGCATGAGCCACCATGCCCAGCTCAAGACAAGGGTCTTAGAAACTTACTTTTTTTTAAGCTTTTAAATTTTTTAAAATCTATTTTTTATAAACTGAGAGGAGCCATAGGAAACACTTTTTGGATTGTAAGAATTGAGTACCTGTAGGAAAGAAAGACTTGGGGAAGTCTACAATAGTAGTGTGGTAGGAACAATTCATAGACTAACTAAAGTCACTAATTCAAGGGAGAGGAGAGCAGGCCCATGGGTCAGAGCTTGGCCCTGGTCCCTGCATCCAGAAGCCTCTGAAGTCTGAAGCAGTTTAGGACTCATGAGAAGTAGCTGGTGTCGTTTCTCTGTGTGGCAGTATCCTATCTGCAAAATAGGGCTAATCATACTCACTTTCTTGCCACTGTGGGAAAGATAAACAATGACCCAGAAGCCTCAGACTGAAGAGAATAACTGGGTTCTTCTCATGAAACATGTTTCTGTAGGTGAGACCATCCACCCCATGCAGTGACGTCACAACGATGGCACTGATCTGGGAGGTGGGTACTTCCTGCTTTACTTCTCCATAATCCCTCACTCACCATCACTGGGAAAAGGGCTCACAGAGCCCATGCAAGAAGATCAGTCCACACAGTACACCCTGCCCCAGTATGCCGAGCACACTAAGCTCTACCCCTCAGAGGGGCCACCCTCTTCCGGCTCCATGCTGGGGCTGCCTCCCCTTCCTCTCATATGACCCTTGCTCACCCTTCTTTAAGCAGCTTTTCCCTCTAGGAAACCAAATACAGTCAGTTTCCATTCTCCACAGGCATCAGGAGGATGCTGGCCTGCAAGAATCCTGAGCTACAAGCCTTCCAGTGTTACCCAGCGCGTGTTACAACAGGGATATATGTAGCTTCCTTTAGTCACTGTGGTCATCTCAGGGTGAGCCTGGCCCCAGAGAAGGCACTGCAGATGCTGTGAGACCCAACACTCCAGCCATGGCCCTCCTATGCCCGCTCAGCTGCCACACAAGCATGGGCCTTGGTTCCCTACTCTGGGTGGAATCTAAGGACAAGTCCAGTCCTGAATCCTCCAGCTCAGCATAAGCTGGAGCAAGCCACTCTGGCCTGTGAAAGACAGGAACTTACATGCAGCCTGAGCAGGACTTGTCTGCAGTTCTGATGGTGATGCAGGGTGGGTGCCTCACCTGTCCCCCTTGTGTTCCTGGCATAGCTGGGCTCCTGTCGCCAGGTGGCAGGCCCGCCCTACTCTGTAGGAGGAGAGGATGGGGAGCAGAGTTCCACTCACATGGGGCATGGAACATGACGAGGACAGAGGAGTGCTCCTTCACAAACTGGTCAAAGTCTTCATCGGTCAGGTGATAAACGGAGCCGCCCTCATCTGCCCAAGGAGTCTCAGGGACCTGGGGCTGTGGTGGCTGTGGACTGGAAGAGCAAAAACAGGCAGAGCTCAGAGCAAGCCTGGGCCTGAGCAGCCCATACAGATCCAGCCCCCTAGCCACAAAGCCCCTGTGGCTGGTGTGTCCTCTTGGGGTGTGCCTTTTGCACACCAAGAGAATGAATGTTATGGCCCTGCCCACCTCCACCTTCCCCTCAAAGTCCCGTAGAGGTACTTGGCTGATACCTGGCTTTCAGCTACTACTCTCTGGGCAGCTCAGGAAATCTCACCTCACCCTGGGAACCGTGGGCTTATTAGCTTTCTCAAGCTACTGCAAACGTGTAGCAAACTGGCAAGAATAAACTGCCGCAGTGCAGAGTGACCTTTGCAGATGCTCACTATTGTGTGCAGTGCTATCTGTAGACACGGAGGGGCTGGAGAGGGACACAGGAATGGATGGGCAGGTGCTGAGGGCAAGGAGGAAAGAGCAGCCAGGTGTCTGAGAATGCCCAGATGTGGGCAGGGAAGGAGAAGCTGCTGCGTAGGGGTGCAGGGATATTCACTGACTGGCTGGAGGGGAACACAAGCATTTCCTAACCCTGACAGTGTCTCCACTGGCTCACGGATCCTTCTACAGGCCAAGAAAAACTTATCTGGTTTTCCCAGAGCCCAAATCAATGCCGCCACTCATTAGCTGCAAAGCCTGATCTCTCGGAGCCTGTTTCCACAGCACAGAACTGCACATTGCACACCATGTCCCGACCACTGTGAGGCCAGAGGACTGCAAGTGTGCTCTTTGCTCAGGACAAGACAGCTGGTGACACAGATGCCTGCTGCTTCACTTCAAGTGCCTCTGTCAAGCAGCCTAACTGCAGCCTTGAAAATAGCTTTTAGAGTGACAAATGTGAAAAGCCAACATTGCTTCCTGCCTGTGAGAACCTACAGTAGGACACACCTAAGGTTTCAGGCTACGGAGCCAAGAGAATTTACTACAGAGGGCGCAGGGCTTATGGTGGAATCTACCAAGCTCCCTCACAACTCCCCACTTCAAAGATGTCACCTTCAGAAGTTCACACTGGCACTTCTGACTGAGCCCCTCTCATGGCCCTGGCCTCCCCACCTGCAGAAATGGAAAGTGGAAAACGGGGCAAGGCATTTTGGCTCATGATTATCCAGTGTCAGATGGGGCTTTGGGTAAGTCACCTGTTAAGACTATGGAATCTAGTTTCTTATGTTTGGGTTCAAACCACCAGCCCTTCACAAAACCAGCACTTCCACTAAGGAATTTACCTTCAAAATTTACCTACATGCATATGAAGGTAAGTGTATTCAAAGCCATTTGCTGCAGGTTACTGGCCACAGTAGACTGCTGACAGCACAGCATGCAGTGAAGAGAACAGCACTGCAGGCAAACAAGGAACCTCTCTGCCTGCCGATGCTGACTGCCTAACATGGACAGAGCAGGCTATCATTTGCCAACTTTTGCATTAAAAAAAGACTCCAAGAACACAGAAGAAATAAGTTGCTGGGCAAGGTGGTATACATCTGTAATCTCAGCTACTTGGGAGGCTGAGACAAGAAGACTGTAAATTCTGAGGCCAGCCTGAGCAATGCTGTGTGACTCTCAAAAATAAAATGTGAAAAAGGGCTGGGGATGTAGCTCAGGGCTGGAGCACTTGCTGCTTGTGGAAGGGCATGCGTGGGACAGGCAGAACAGAAGGCAAGGAGATGGAAGCAGACCTTTTCAATGCATAGTTTTTAAGTATCTTTATTTTAAAAAATTATGTAGAGGTAATCTATTAGGCAATCAAAATGAACTTTAAAAAATCCAGCAAGAGAATAAACGCAGGATGGGAACCCTATGGCTTGGGAGAAGCACAGCATATGAATGAGCCTAAGAAGCATCTCATTAAACACGGAGAAGAGTATGTGCTAGAATCACTAGAATAACAGCAGCACAGGAGTGAAAACAAAAAGTATGACTCTTCTGGAACACACAGAACAGGAAGGACAACACAGAGAAGACATCAGCGTAATTTCAAGAGCTAGAAAGTGAATGTAGGAAAACAGAAGGCAGAAACTGGGGTGCTGGGAGGAAAGCGCAGCACGGGGCTTGAAAACCACATTGATGTATGTGCTTGGGTCCCGTCCATGGAAGCAGCGCAGACCCTCAGGCCCTGGGTGTGCCCCACTGCCCCCAGCAAGCAAGTGGGAGCTCACTTTCTGGGCAGGACCACCGCAAACAGTGTAGGAGAAGTAATAGAGAGGCAGTCTGAGCCCAAGCCCTGGAGTCAAGCCTGCCCCGGGGGTGAGCTCCGGGCACAGTGTGGTTCTCTGGTCTCCTTACCACTTGTGCACAGCCCACAGCAAACACCCAGTAAATGCCCACTGAGGGACCAAAGGAGAGGGAAGTGATGACAGGAACTGGAGGTGTTTAATTTGGAATAGGGAGAACATATGAGAACAGTTTATCTCCAAACCATTCAGACTGTTTTGGAAAGAGATACTATGATTTCTTTGGGCCCAAAAGAGGCTGAAAAACCAAGTGAGGATTTCCAGAGAAAGAATGAGGGCTCAGGGTGAGTGTGATTACTATGACTGCAGGGAAGGAGGGAGACAGTAGAGCTGGGAGGGCAGATAGGGTGAGTCCTACTCTGCTCATTGCCCTAGGCAAACTTAAAAGTCTGCCACACAGGGCATCAGCGGTCCTTTCTTAGTCCACCTACAGGCAATGGACATGCAACCACTTGTCAATTTGTGAGGTACCACCCAGATGCGCCCCCCCCCCGTATTATGCATATCCTAGGTCTTAAGAATCATTCCCACAGGGGGCCAGGGAGATGGCTCAGTGGAATAAGCGCTTTCCTGGCAAGCGCAAGGACCTGAGTTCAATCCCTGGTTCCACAAAAAAAAAAAAAAAAGAATCATTCCCACAAGCCTGGGTGGCTTTGAAATGAGGCAAGGGGGACCATTCAGGTGCAAACATTTGGAGACAGCTGCTCTCCCAGGCTCTCTCAGTAAGTGCATGTGCCAAAGATGGGGAGATGTGGGCATTACAAGGCAAAAACCCTCTGTGTCCATCCATTTACTCATAGACAGAACAGTGCAACGAGGCCAACATGACTGCTGATCCACACCCCTTTACCTGCCTCCTGCCTGCGCCAACTCCCAGTGTCAGATCTGCCAGGGACTTGGGGTGGGGCTGGGAAGAGATAGGTCACGAAGGGCACTGGGGGTACAACCACCACACAAGTGTGTCTACTCCACAGCCTTCAGACACTACTGGTTCTCTGGCCAGCCTCATGGGTGCGACCCACCAGTCACTGGGTGGAGAGGAGGATCAAGCTTTTCTTCCCTGAGCATTGGTAGATTATCAGCCAGGCCCTCCATATCTGCCTGCACATAGGCCCTGAGCAGCAAGGGGCCAAAAGAGATGCCCAGGGAAGCCGGAAAGATGAGTCCAAAGTGGAGTGCATGGAGACTGGTGAAGATTTAAAACATGGAACTGGGAAAACTACACACAGACCTGGACATACACAGGAGAAAATCTGGAAGACGTTGACCAAAACATCACATGTTATCTTGGGCTGATGGGGTAGGGAGGACTTTTCATTTCCTTATTATTTTAAAGTTTCTCTCTAATAAATATATCTCCCTAGAGTATCTTAAAATCAGAAAAGATTTATTTATTTTTTGGCGGAACTGGGGATTGAACTCAGATCCTTGCATTTGCCAGTCAAGCGCTTATCCTACTGAGCCATCTCCCCGGCCCAATCAGAAAAGATTTTATAAAATTAAGCCAGCAAGCAGCACAGAGAGATCTCTAGCTCTAGACGTCTTTCAGGAGGTGGCCTCTCTGCTCTGCCTGAGGGTATATGTGGGAGTTACCTGTAGCCTGCCCTCAGGGGAGCCAACCCACCTGTGCACCCAACAGAGTGCTTACAGGGGCCGGGCAGGGGCTGCAAGGACCAACACCCTCTTGCTTCCTAGCAGCTCCCATCTCCCCTCTCACCCTCAGACTGCAGATGCATCTGATGCTGCAGACAGATGGGGGCTGGGGGTGGGAGAGGCTGGGAGGACGGGTGGCAGCTCCAGCCGGGAGATAATGACCTGTCTCTGAAGCTCTGCTGATGTGCTCTCCTTGTCTAGGCCTAGTAGGCAATTCTGAACACTTTAAAAAAAACCCACAAAAAACCATACCTTATCCTTCTAAAAAGATGAGGGTGTTTTGAAACCAGAAAAGGTTAGAGAAAGGGGAGGGAAGCAGACAGACTTTATGCTCTGGTGACAAATGAGATTGCTATTTGTTGAAACCTTTCTCAAAGCAGAGTGAGGTCTGTCGGCCAGGAGGGGCAGACATGCTTATTATCAAATGAAAGAGGGAAATCAGAAAGCAAGCCTAGGTTAAGACAATGAATACATGATAATGGGGAGCGGCCCTTCCAGACAGGGGCTGGAAATGAGGTAGGATGGGGAGAGGTGTGAGAATGCTTCTGAGAAATAAAAGATGCTGTGCAAACACGGCTGTGCAGGTGTCGCATCTCCAAGCCCCCGGGAGCGGGAGAACAGACTGAGGTTTTCAGCCTTTGGAAACCCAACGGTTTGTTTTGCTGTAGGGATATATATTCCTATTTACCATTCTGAAAATATGCATTTGGAATCTCCACATCTTTGGAGAACTAGGTTACTATTTAAGCCTGGGGTTTGCACACAGGGTTACCTAAGGGAAAGACATCAGTAAATATCTGCAAGCTGGCAGTGGGGAGGGGAGGGACTGCTCGCAGAACTGAGCTGGACTGCAGGGAGGGGCTGGAGAGGGGGACCAGTGTCCCCATTGCTACCATCAGCTCTGTAGCCTCGGCATGTTGCTCTACTCCTGTTCCTCAGTTACCTCAATGGTAAATGAGGGTAAGGATAATTTAACTTTCCTGACTGCACGCTCTGAGTACTAAATGAAGATCCTATAGAATGCTTAGACCAGTGTCAGCCACTAAGGAGAATCTCCAACAGCAGCTGCCATTATTCCTAGGCCTAGCACAGTCAGCCATGAAGCTCTAGGAGTGAGCGAAGGAGGGAAGGAGCAGGACGAGCACTTGGCCTGGGCCTCCCAGGATCTGTAGGACACCAGCCCATGAGTCCAGTGAAGGTGCCGGGAAGATTGATGCAAAGGAACAGGCAGAGGGGTGACTGGGCAGGACCCAGCAGCAGGCCTTGGGGGTGACTGGGCAGGACCCAGCAGCAGGCCTTGAACAGTGGTGCTGCAGGCAAGGAAGGGGCTGGGCCAGTGAGTGGTGGGATCTGACGCGTCATAGCAGGGATGGAAGGCAGTCTTGAAGCAGGGTCTATGGGCCCAGGGTGAAAGGTGGAGTGCTACACAAGGCAAAGGCACCAGAGCATTTCTGAGTAGCTCCACAACACCTAATACAGTGGTGTGTTTGAAATGAGTATTCAAGTGACAATTCTATTTTCACAGACCGACAGTGAAAGGCTCCTCAAAGTCGATCTCCTGAGAAATGCCTCTACCCATCAGATCAAGAGTGGGGAAAATTTCAATTTGAAATGTGGAAAGATTTCAGGAAACCCTTGACTATTCCAAGACAGTCCTCAAACTTAGGTCTGGCCCCTTCCAATTCCTGGCCATACAGAGGAGAGGAAAGGGAGAGGGGCTTTAGCCAGGCCCCATAGTCATAGGCCGAAGGCACACCAAGTCCTCAGGATTACCATGACCAAAAGCACAGGGACTCCATGCCGACCTAGACCCCAGGTCAGCAGTGCAACAAGTCTCCTCCCTTCCTCATTCTCCTCCCCAATCCCACTGGAGCCCTGTAGCTGAGGGGGGTCACACCTGGGCCCAAAGCTACCCCTCCCCGGGTACCCCTCCCCACCCCCACAGCACAAACACCTGACTTACCTCTTCAGCCACTCCACGATGTCCTCGGCTGTGGACCCATAGTTATCATACTGGAACAGAAAGCGCCCTTTCCTGTGAAATGTGGACAGACAATCTGGCTCAGCCAGGGGCACAAACAGCAGCAGGGTACGTGAGCTCCAAAGGGCAGCAGGGGACTTACTCAAAATAGCAGATGGTGGGGTAGCCACGCACATTGTACTCCTCCTTGATGTTTTCAAATTCAGAAGGGTAGATGTTCATCCCAGCCAGCACCTGGGAAGAGACAGGACACTGGTCCACCCCTTCACGCCCATCTTATCTACACACAGCCAGGCCAGATGTCCCACCAGAAAAGCACACATGGGACAAAGCCTCAGAGACAGATGTGCAACCGGGGCTGGGTCAGCCAGTGGGAACAAGGACCAAGTGCTCTAGGTCAGACTTCCAGGCCTATGCACTGCACCTGCATGCTCCCCACAGAAAAGACATCTGCAGTAGAAGTAACACTCAAAGGCTGAGGAGCTACCGAGTGTAAGAACTCACATGGGGCCATGGTCACCGGAGTACATGGTGTTCTTCTCTGCCCACATCAGTTCAGGCTGTGCCCTTCAAAGTTATGGAAACAAACAGAAAGATTCCCCAAGCAGAGGTGATTTGGGGATGCTCCTGAGCCTCTGCAGAGGTCCTTAGGCCTGTCATCAGTCTGTCCACCCAGGATTCATGGACAACATTTTCAGACCTCACAGCTCAGATGTGGCCAGACACTGCAGTCCTCAGGGCAGTACAGGAGAAACTGTGGAGGCTGCCTGTCTGCCTCCCCTCCCCAAGGACCTCCCCACGCCTCCCCCAGTGCTCTCTTCCTATCTGTGACTGGCGCTCTGCCTGAACAAGTTCCAGTTCTAGGGCTCCACATGGCCCACAGCTCTGAGCTAGAAAGAATTTCAGACTCAGGAAATAACCTCAGCTCACTGGGAAGCTGAGGCTGAGGATCACAAGTTCCTCAGCCTG